TGTTAGTCCCATCCAGGTAGAATATTTTCTGTATTCGGTAGTTGACAGTATTGGCTAGCGTGACTGGGCTCGGGTGGAGAAGACGTAGTATGTCGATCTGCAAATAGTGGGGTTAGAGTAATAGGCGAAGAGGCCTTGGTAAGGTCATTTATGTATTGGAGAAAGAAAGAGGGCCCAAGGACACTTCCCTGTGGGACACCAACTGTAATTGTTTGTCAGAAGAGTTTGCCCCATTTGCGTACACAATATTGCTTCTGTTTCTGAGTGTATGACTTGAGGTAGTATTGAGGGAGTGGCCCCTAATACAAGTGTGACATTTTACGTGGATCAAGTCATGGTCAACTGTAAATCAAAAGCTTAGTAAGTCAATGAAAGATCCCCAGTGGGACTTCTTTTTTCACTCTATTGCAGGTATAATTATCCCCCTAGCATTTATAATAGCATCAAATTAGTATTTTGTAGTAGGCCTGAATCCAATGGCAGGGGTTGAGTACTTTTAGGAGATAAGGTAGGAGTAAGATTCGTTTATGAATAATTTTTTTCTAAGATTTTTGAGAGAGGAGAAGTTGGATATTGGCCTATAGTTATCAACTCTGTTTGGTCTTCCTTTGTGGTATCGGGGTGAAAAACCCCTTGCTAGTTGAGAACTATAGGGAAGGTGGAGGATTCAATGGATTTGTTAGTGTTGCAATGATTGGTGATAGCACTGTGACACTTTTTTTGCGTATATAAAAGGGTGGGTAAGGATTTAAATCTCCTGCCTTGTTTTTTAGTGCGTTGATAATAAGGGAGACTTTTCGTATGGTTAGTCGGAGCTAGGAACAGTGTGTTCGGGTAGTTGCCGGTGAGGTAGTCATTTGGTGGGGTAATCTGAGCTTGAGATTTTATTGGCAAGGTTTTGTCCTATAGTGGAGAAGAAATCATTGAGTCTGTTTGGTGTTTCTGTTGGTGGGAGTTGGGGTTCATCTGATTTTGCTAATTTTATTTCGCTATTTCGTGATATCTTTTTTGTTCCCAGAATTTCGATAGGGTTTTCCAGGTCTTTTTTATATCACCTCGTAAGTTGGATAATCTGTTCTCATAATACAATTTTTTTGCCCTTCTTATCAGGCTGGTTAGGATTGACGAGTAACGTTTTGTTTGGTCTCTGGTTATGTGACCCATTCTGTACTGTTTTTCATATTGGTGTTTTGTATTTATGGATTTGAGAATGCTGGGTGTTAGCCAGGGACTGTTCAGTCTCTTAGCTGTCATCTGTTTAGTTTTTTTAGGGCAGTGCTTGTTATAGAGGTATTGGATATATATATATATATATATATATATATATTATATATATATATATATATATAATATATAATATATATGTTAGTCCCCCCCCCTCGTCTAAATCCAGCCCTAATCGAAAAGCATTAAACCCACAAGAGATGTCAAATACGCAAGCCCAACATCAAGTAGACGATTTTCAACACGAGTCCATGGACATTAGAATTACGAATATGTGACAAACGAGTATCTTCGGGCTAGTGTCCAGGGCGTTTCAAATATCAAGGTTCAAACCACTAACACACAGTAACAAGACTGTGTTAGTCCCTTGGTAATTACTAAGTGACAACCATCACCCTCCCACTAGCAACAACTAACTACTCACCCCCAAACTCCTCCACCAGCAGCGAACCCCCTAACGACCTTCCCCCTCCCCACAAACAACCACTGACGTCATCACCCCCCTCCTCCAGGTCAATGGCGCCAGTTAGCCATGGAGGTGAAGAATAGTGGCGCCACTAATCACTTCTCTGCCATCCACCACACCAACACCTCCAGTTCCAGCAACCTGTGGTAATTTACGTAACAAAAAAAACTTTGATTACTCCAATTTCATGGTAATTTTTGATGGATCAGCTTTGAAAATATTTTGGCAATTTTTCTTTCTACAAAATGTTGAAGGAAGCATTCTAAATACATATAAAGATTTCAAACTATAGCTTACTGCAGTTCATGTATCTAGTACTGTCCATACTTTCATCTTTGCAGACATTGTCTTGGGGTGTTGCTGCTGGTGATATCTCTGAAGACTTGCAGCTGCCCACAACATGGACTTAAACCACACAGTAGCTGCCCATAACACCGGGGAATATGACTCACGAAATCGTAATGACACGATTGCAAACAAGATTCGATAAACTTAAAATCAATTAAAATGTAAAATAAATTTTCTTTGCTGTGATAGTGTTCAAGGAACACAAAAATAGAAATAGAAAAAAAAATAAGACAAGCCTCAACTGCTGTTTGTCAGCAGGACAACATTCACACAATTCAGGAGCTTTAAGCTCGGGGAAAAAAAAAATATACCTACCCCAACCCTACTAACAATAGTAATAATGAGGCAGATAGCCTCAGTACTGCCATTAGTAGTAGTTTGAGGTATGATACATTTTTTAAGTTTCATGACTTGGCTTCCTGACAATACAAAGTGTTGCGACACTGGGCAGTGGACAGTCATGTACAACACTATCTTCACTTCCGCGTGTACAAGACTTCTAACACAGGCTATTGTCACCTCTTGGCGCAGAATCTTCCTGACACACAAACAAGTTGGTTTACCCTCAAACATAACCTAGCCAAACCTACTCCTAATATCCCTTAGACGCCTGTATATTTAACAGGAGAGAAAAAAAAAAAGTACAGAAAGTAAAGTTGACTACTCCTCTGAATCAAACTTGACTGACTTTCATCGACCTGTCCCCCGAGAGTTTACCGCTTCCCACCATTCAGACTATTTTACATACGTGCACCTTTACCTAAATAAAAGTAACCAGAACTAGATATGGATAATATGAGTTATACACAGCTTGGAAAATGCTGGATCAGACCTGATTGCCTAAGGAAGGGAAGGGTACTTGCAACTGCTGGTATCAAAACACTTTCACTAGTACAGAGACGCCCCCTTGCAGGGCATCCAAATTTAACATGAATGTAGTTAGGATCATTAAGACAACATTGTATTTTCCCTACACTTCCACATCCCTCATAGCACACTAGGCTAACAACCAACACTATGGATTATCTAACCAGTTGGAGGCCTGCCTTATACCAGTTTCCTAACATACACTACTATGCTAGACTGCATTCATAACCTACCTTACCTGCCAGTTATGGCTGGCAACCTGAAGACCACTACATTCAAGCCCCCACACCACTAATTTTCTGGGTTTCTAACCCAGCAGGGTTAATAATACGAGTCTCCCTAATACCAATCTAAATCATCCCCCACCTAACTATACTCATCAGCATCAGATGTTAGTGAATCCTTTCTGCCGACTAACACTTCACTTCAGATCACAGAGGTTTTCGTTATTTTCATCATTAACGTCTGCTGCCAGAAGCGTTAGACTTCACTACTTATTTATATCAAACCAACTGCAATTCTGAACGATAATACTTTTATGTTCATAGGAACCTGAACACCGCTTAAATTTAACAAAATGATGACATTGAGTAAACTCAATGAATCAATATTTAACTTTGCACAGTTTGGCCAAAGGCATAAAATACGTAGAACACCCACCACAACCACTACCCAAAGCCCGAAACCCACCAACATCCCCACGGAAACCACGAGCAATAACAGATTGCACACAGCTTCTGAAGGTCGTTGGTGGGTTCCAAGGCCCACAGTTCTACGTAATCCATGCCTTCGGGGGAGATTACTCTCCCCTGCTATATGCATTCATAATGCATATAGCAGATTCTCCAGTTCTATACCTTACCTATCCTACATAACACCACCTAATTCTCTAAGTTATTTTTGTAGTAGAAACTAAATAATTGTAACCTACAGTGTTATATATACACCACAACTATGCAGCATACTCCAGGTATATGCCTTACGAATTTGCAGAGCAGTGGCGACGCAAGGGGGGATGAAGGGGGTCTAGGTACGATCAATCAGTCTACAAAGTCTTTGTAAATATGTACTGTATTACCCAGTTTCAAAACAAATGCTCCCCTCCCAAGACGCTCTAATACAGACTCTGGAGTCGTCAGCGCTGAACCCACAAAGCTACACTACCGAAAATATTTTTGGGACTTAAAAGCATACAATTATTTGGCCAGGCCCTCAACCACATCTTCCTATTTTCAGTAGGGTTGTAAATTCCACATTTCTGAGGAACTGTTATTGATTTTTCCGGCTATAATATATTCTGCCTAAGGAAATTTTATCCCGTCATGTGAAGCTAAAATTGGCTGTATATTTTTAAAAATAGGTTAGACAAATGAATGATTTAGACATGCCTAACATGGGTCAATAGGCCTGCTTCAGTGCTTTTTCTTATGTCTTAACGGATATGCCTGATTTAATAGGCTTTCCTTACACCCGGCATCAACACCTCTACCATTACCCTCACCACACTAAACTATCTCGGTATAAATATTAACCCGGTAGATTAACAGAGAATTACACAATCAAGTCGGGATGACATCTATGGTATTTTTATTAGGGTAATTATAATCCCTCAGGATGCGACCCCTACCAGTAGGCCTACTCCTTTTTTATGTGAACAGTGTCAATGGATGTAAGAAATATGCTCACCTGTGCTTGGGATCGAATCTCGGTTCAGTTGACACCACTACCAACTGAGCCATGATACATCACTTACACATTTCATCTCTGCTTCCTACAATCTTGCAGGATGGGTACAGACTAAATAAAGATATTACACTAACAAAAACTTCCTAAAATATAACCAGTCTTCAATTCTAAGTTTTACAACCCATTTCTCCAATTTTTATTTCCATCCCACTCAAGGTAAACTATAGAATGCATTCCCCATTATTTTCTGGCCAGAGATTTCATCTCTGGTCGTGAGATAAGCTAATACTTCCCACTTAGCTACTTTTGATATCAATTGCTTACAATCTTCCCTATACTCTCCCCACCACCTTCCCACCTAATACAATTACTATCAGCTTCAATAACCAAACTTAAGTGGACTTATAACCTGGAAATACCTTACAAGTGGGCCCTGCCCACCTCTAACGACGTCTCCAACTGCTGCATCTCCATATAACACTAAATGTTATGGGTCAGACCATTTACTAGTGTGGTTGTTTCCACCCCTCAGACTGGTCAGGGTTGCTGTATTGATCAATTTTGCAGTAGACAGCCAGGCGTAACACTTCAGTTACCACACCTGAAACAAAACACGTTCGCATTATAACCATAAACATTACACACATTTATAGGTAAACATTACACGTAATATAAACTAGAAACATTATACTGCCCGACTGATATACGCGCACTTGTGTGGGTGTATGACCCACTTAATATTTGTATTTATAACTCATTACAATTGTGACCGGGTATGGACGTGTCAGTGGCTCATTACTTTTAATTTGTTCATGATTGTAACCATGTATAGGAGCGAGGATGATGCATTATCTTTGTAACATGCCATGACTGTGACCAGATGGCCCGGTGGCTAAAGCTCCCGCTTCACACACGGAGGGCCCGGGTTCGATTCCCGGGGGGTAGAAACATTTCGACACGTTTCCTTACACCTGTTGTCCTGTTCACCTAGCAGCAAATAGGTACCTGGGTGTTTGTCGACTGGTGTGGGTCGCATCCTGGGGGACAAGATTAAGGACCCCAATGGAAATAAGTTAGTCCTCGATGACGCACTGACATTCTTGGGTTATCCTGGGTGGCTAACCCTCCGGGGTTAAAAATCCGAACGAAATCTCATCTTATCTACCTGGAGGTCATTACAATTGTAACTAGTTCTATGGAAAATTTACTAGGGGTGTTATCTGTACGTACCTCAACATTACATACATACGAGTAATCTCATTGGGGGACAACAACTATATTGTTTACCGCAGTCACCCCGTGTAGACATGCGAGAAAACTTAACCACCTCTGGTCACTGCAGGTAGTCCCCTCGACCCTCACAATCTTATCCATATCTATCCGAGACCAGCATAAATTGGATAGCACCCTCAACTACGGCGCTACTAATTAATTGTGGACTGTATAGATTATATTAGTGTAACTGAATGAAGGGGGAGGGGTAGGTTACACATGGATATATCCATCAAGGAAAAACACTTGTACATAATCCCACCACTTACCAGATATTCTCTGGTGGTCACTTGATGTAGCTGGATCACCCATAACCCATCCAATTACAACATACCTAACTGGCCAGTATCAGTCTGCTATAACTGGAGTTTACCTGGAGAGAGTTCCGGGGGTCAACGCCCCCGCGGCCCGGTCTGTGACCAGGCCTCCTGGTGGATCAGAACCTGATCAACCAGGCTGTTGCTGCTGGCTGCACGCAAACCAACGTACGAGCCACAGCCCGGCTGGTCAGGAACCGACTTTAGGTGCTTGTCCAGTGCCAGCTTGAAGACTGCCAGGAGTCTGTTGGTAATCCCCCTTATGTATGCTGGGAGGCAGTTGAACAGTCTCGAGCCCCTGACACTTATTGTATGGTCTCTTAACGTGCTAGTGACACCCCTGCTTTTCATTGGGGGATGTTGCATCGTCTGCCAAGTCTTTTGCTTTCGTAGCGAGTGATTTTCGTGTGCAAGTTCGGTACTAGTCCCTCTAGGATTTCCAGGTGTATATAATCATGTATCTCTCCCGCCTGCGTTCCAGGGAATACAGGTTTAGGAACCTCAAGCGCTCCCAGTAATTGAGGTGTTTTATCTCCGTTATGCATGCCGTGAAGGTTCTCTGTACATTTTCTAGGTCAGCAATTTCACCTGCCTTGAAAGGTGCTGTTAGTGTGCAGCAATATTCTCAGCCTAGATAGAACAAGTGACCCTGAAGAGTGTCATCATGGGCTTGGCCTCCCTAGTTTTGAAGGTTCTCATTATCCATCCTGTCATTTTTTCTAGCAGATGCGATTGATACAATGTTATGGTCCTGAAGGTGAGATCCTCCTACATGATCACTCCCAGGTCTTTGACGTTGGTTGTTTCGCTCTATTTTGTGGCCAGAGTTTGTTTTGTACTCTGATGAAGATTTAATTTCATGTTTACCATATCTGAGTAATTGAATTTCTCATCGTTGAACTTCATATTATTTTCTGCAGCCCACTGAAAGATTTGATTGATTGTCCGCTGGAGCCTTGCAGTGTCTGCAATGGAAGACACTGTCATGCAGATTCGGGTGTCATCTGCAAAGGAAGACAAGGTGCTGTGGCTGACATCCTTGTCTATGTCGGATATGAGGATGAGAACAAGATGGGAGCGAGTACTGTGCGCCTTGTGGAACAGAGCTTTTCACCGTAGCTGCCTCGGACTTTACTCTGTTGACGACTACTCTCTGTGTTCTGTTAGTGAGGAAATTATAGATCCATCGACCAACTTTTCCTGTTATTCCTTTAGCACGCATTTGTGCGCTATTACGCCATGGTAACACTTGTCGAAGGCTTTTGAAAAGTCTGTATTTTTTACTTTGGCATTCTTTTTGTTTCTAGTGCATCTAGGCCCTTTGTCGTAGTGATCCAATGGGTTTACTTAGTGGTGGGGTTGATGCCCCTTTAAATTCCCTCCATTCACCATCTTATTTCGATGCCCTGCAAAACCGCCCACGGTTCTTATTCCAGCAGGACGAGGTTTTCCTTTGGGTTTTTTCCCCAGTTTGGGAAGTTGTGATCCATAAAAACTTCACTATCCCGAGACGGGAAACAACGGGGGAAAAACATGTGCACACAAAATTTGGGAAGGCAGTTTCATATCGCTTAAAACGTTTCCCTTTAAAACTTAGTGTTATTATCACTGTTTTACATTAAAATTCAAAAGAGGGATTTAAGTCTAAATTTTTTATACACATTAGAGGTCACTCATTAAGACGGGAAAATTTTGAGTGGGGGTTTAAAACTCGGGAAATTTTCCCCCGGGGGACACATTCCATGGCGGGCCCCCGTCCCCCCGGCCCTCTTTTTTCCAAATCTTTTTTCCATTTTTATTACGGTGGTCACGTAAATCACGTTCCCTAACTCTTCCCGGGAAAAGAGTTAGGGACATTTCCCTATTAGGATTGAGGCCTATTTAACCCTTTTAGGCCCCCCGGGAAACCAATTTCCGATCCCATTTTTTCACAGCCTCCTCACTACTTTAAAAAACACTGCCGCCCCCCCCCTCCCCGGGAAGTCAAACCTGCCCTCCCCTCGCACACCCGCGCAGGCGCAGGGGGGAACCCCGGTTTGGTTTATTAAAAATTCTTTTTGACTCAAACCCAAACCCCATTAAACCCCTTTTTTAGGCACTATAGCTTCGGAAATTAAAAAAATTTTCCCAAAAGGTTCACTATCTAACTTCTGGTCCAGTCCCTGGAACCATTATGTACCCTTTTTAACTTTTTACTACCGCCCACAGGGTGGGGATGGGGTGCATAACCCCCAAAACATTGAACCCCCAAAAAAACTTTAATTTCCCATTAAAGTTTAATTTAAAAATTTCTTTCACATAAAACCCGATGAAATAAATTTGTTTTTCCCCGGATGTCTATATCTGGGTCACAAGGCGCAAAAATTCCCCTTTATCAAGAGACCTTAGTTTTTTTTGCAATAATGAAAAAAAAAAAGCCCCAAAAGGTTTCACCATTATGGGTTTGTAAAGCCCATGTGAGAATTATTGTTTGATCAGAGGGAAGGGTTTGTAGCCCCCGTTCCTCGCATCAAAAAACCCTCTCCACTAAGGTCAATTTACCCCCTTCCCCCCCCCCCCCCTCTAAGACATTAGACCCCAAAGAAAATTAAGACCCAAAAAATTAAATTTTGGGGACCAAAATGGTTTGGGGGGGACCAAGAAACTGCGCTCAACCTGCTGTTGTACTGGGCAAAAACGTTACCGACAAAATTACGATTTTTAGGTGTATTAAAAGGGTGAGGAAGTGGTTAAAAACCCGGGAGGGGCGAAAAGGGAAAAGCAAACACCTCTTCTGTTTCGACCACTGAAGTTCAACTGACCTTTAGTGCCTTTGAGGTTTGGGCCCCTATCCTGACTTTTACTATAACACCATCACTGATAACCTGGGCTTAAAAAAAAGACCCACCCCCATAGTGGCACTACTAAACACAACCCTATGACTGTTTCCCTCTCCCGCCCAAAGGTTTTTTAAAGCTCCTTCTCAGCACGTATGCCGCATTCTATTCAAGATTGATGGACTGACCACATCGACTCAAGGTTGAGGGACTGATTACCTCATTCTCCTCCTGTTCTTCAAGATCTCCTTTGTATGGACTGATGAAGCCACTGTGTGGCGAAACGTTTCCTCAATAAAGATACCCAAGAGTTGCACATGTGTCTAATTTATCAACATGTCGGTTCTCTGAACCATTCATCTACAAACCTGTCAGACACTGCAACTTCTTGGGATCTTAATACTTGGGAATTCTTCGCTTGCCTAATTCTTGGGCACGACCTACTTCAACATTGAACAAATGTTACACCACCTATGACTGCTGCCTGCCAACGGTTTATAAGCTCCTTCTCAGCACGTATGCCGCATTCTATTCAAGACTGATGGACTGACCACATCGACTCAAGGTTGAGGGACTGATTACCTCATTCTCCTCCTGTTCTTCAAGATTCTCCTTTGTATGGACTGATGAAGCCACTGTGTGGCGAAACGTTTCCTCAATAAAGATACCCAAGAGTTGCACATGTGTCTAATTTATCAACCTGGTTCTCTGAACCATTCATCTACAAACTATGACTCATTGTTGTCTCTCTGTCAGGTATTCTCTGATCCATTGCAGTGTCCTTCCTGCTATTCGTGCCCGATCCTCTAGCTTTTACACTAATCTCTTATGAGGAGCTGTGTTGAAGGCCTTCTTGTAGTCCAAGAAAATGCAATCTACCCACCCCTCTCGTATTTTACTTCCGATTACCTTGTCATAAAGGACCCCAATGGAAATAAGTCACTCTGACTTTTTTGGGTTATCCTAGGTTCTCTACACATATGCTGCTATGTACGATAATTCTATGTAACTGTATTTGTGTATACCTGAATAAACTTAATTACTTACTTATAAAACTTCAGTAGGTTTGTGACACAGGATTTGCCCTCCCTGAACCCATGCTGGTTGTCGTTAATAAGCTTGTTCTCAGCCACCAGTTGTACAAATTTCTACGGCACGAGGGAAGCCAATTGCTGACTCTGTGCCTCTGGGGCTCTTTTTAAGAGGAGTTGGACTTACC